ACCTACGGCTTGCTGTATCCGAGACCACTACCAAGGAAACTCCTGCCGAAAAATTATATAGTTTTGTCCTGCTAAATCAGAAGCGAAGCCCAGTTCCCTGCCTCACTAACCGAGCTAGGAGAATATGTTCGCCAGATTCACTGGAGAACGAACACGCCCTTATAAAAAATACTCTAGGAGAAAACAGGTTCCCCAAGAAATTTATGGAAAAACTTCCCCCAACATCGGAAGCGCCGACCGCTGAGAAGAAAGCCTTGTTTCCCACATTGCCTTTTTGAGGCGATCCAGCGAGCGACCTTCTGCATCTTCGCTTAAATGCTGCAATCGCGCGTACGCATCCAGCTGCTAAAACTAATATTTGCAAGAACTCCACTTCTTTGCCTTGAAGGCAAGGATAGAGTCCCGTCTCAGACGTCTTCGATGTGCATCTACGCTTTCACTTGCTCGTGTGGAGCAGGTTATATTGGTCGAACAAATTGGCGCCTGCCCAACGGTTGCGAGAACTTCATCGTGCCTGGCTAAGCCGAAGCATAATTAACTTCATATCTAGCGCAGATGTGGGTCGCTTGGTTGACAGCGATTACTGGGTAGAGGTAAACCAAGTATTCCGAGTCATCTATAAAGTGCCGACGAAAAACTCCAGCCTCAGCGGATACTTGCGACGGCAGAGACAGAGGCCATATGGCTAACTGATTCAACATTGTGTGCCCAGAAGTCATTTTAGAGGCAATAGGACTCCCCTGGCCGAAGACTAACTCAGTATGCGCCTTCACACCTACCGCGTCGCGTTACACTGACGACGCAGAGACATCAACTAACCCCCCCCTTCCTGACCCCTTGACCTCTGAACGCCCTCAACCCTCTCGTCCTTACTGTTAACTGGATGTTTAAACTTTTATCACTCTGAAAAAATTTGAGTGCTCAAAGCAGGTTGATGTTGCCTGAAAACTTTTGCATGGAATAATGGAGTGGGACTTCGGTTCTATTTCGTTGGTTTTCGGATCCGAAGTAAAGATCAAAAGAGACAGACGAGGACGTTTTTATGGTTGCGCTAGAGATGAAATTCATGGACCGTAACCATGTAAAGTGAAAGCATTCGTCAAGCATGTTTTCATTTGCCATGAGCGAAAGTCAGAGGCTCGAAGACGATCAGATACCGTCCTAGTTCTGACTATAAACGACGCCAACTCATGATCCGTGGTGGTAGTATTTTAACCATCTCCACGGACAGTCCCCGGGAAACCTTTAAGTCTTTGGGTTCCGGGGGATGTATGGTTACAAAGCTGAAACTTAAAGGAATTGACGGAAGGGCACCACCAGGAGTAGAGCCTGCGGCTTAGCTTGACTCAACACGGGAAAACTCAACCGGCTCAGACACTGTGAAGATTGACAGATTGATAGCTCTTTGTTGATTTGGTGGTTGCTATTGCATGGCCGTTCTTAGTTGGTGGAACGATTTGTCTGGTTAATTCTGATATATTATTGTAAATGCCTGGTTGTGAATAATCAAAAACGTACGTTCACCAAATCTGACCCCTTGAATGTTATGTTTATTTCGTTCTAAACCGTAAGAAGTAAGATACTGCAGC